CTTGGAAGAAAACAGGTTCATGCTATAAGGCCAGAGCCTCTCCATTTTGACTGAAAATCATCAGTTATTTGACATAAAGTCAGAATGGAGGCCACCAGTTGCCTGTCATCCACATGGAAAGGAAACAAGAGCTGCAGAGGGGTGCATCGGAGATGCCACATCACGAACTGTGAGGACCCCGCACCACCTCACTTATTAGCTCTCAGTTCCTGCAGTCTCAGTTTGTTAATCACGCCTTCCCTTCAGGAGCACTGACCTTCCCCAGGTTTGTTAACCAGGCTGGAAATGAGAGCAGTCACAATGACTGAGACCTTGCTGTGTGCCAGACACTACTCCACAGGCTCTGTTATATTCTCTCATCCAATTCTCACAGAAACTTGAAGTCCGTTTTGCTGATGAAATCCTGGGCAATGATGGCAGAAGATGGCTTTTAGGTATTGGTTTCCAAAATAGGATCTTTTCTGGTGGAGTGGCTCAAGTGGCAGAGTGCCTGTCTACCAAGCATGAGGCCCGGAGTTCAGACCCTTATTCCTCCAAAATAATAAATAAAAATTCTACCAAGAAAATGATTTTTTGTTAAGCTGGGTACGTGGAGTGGTATTATATTAGAATTTCTTATATTAGTCTTAAATCTTTGTTTCCACAATCAATTTTTTAATTCAAAAATGAACCTGACCTGGGCATGGTGGTGTACACCTATAATCCTGGCACTTAGGAGATGGAGGCAGAAGAATCTAGAGTTCAAGACCAGTCAGAGTACATGGTAAGACTTTGTCTAAAAAAAAAGAAAAAAAAAAAAAAGACTGATGTTCACTACCCTGCAATCAGCTTAAAAATACCCTCACTCCACTCCCTAACACCAAGAGAAGAGCATGAAGGGGCAGTACCAACCTCACCTATCCCCAGACCTCAGGATTCTGGATTATTCTCAGTACTTAAGGCTGCCCCTGAAGGAGAAACCAAGCAAAAAAGAGAATAATAGGAAGGAGCACAAATGATTAAAAATAATGATGCCAGTACTGAGGAAAGCACATAGACAAACGGGATGGTTTTCAAACCCTCTGCTGGCCACAGGGAAATTGATTAAGAACAGATCAAACTTTGATGCATATTGTTTTTCAAAACAGACATGAGCCCTCACACACATCCCCTTGGAAAACAGCCAAATAAAATAAGTTACTGACATACTGAAACAGTACTTATGAGAGCTACTGCAACACCTTACAAAGTATAACCATAGCCATAATAAAAAATAGCATTTTTAAATGCATAAAATTTGGGAGCATTTAAATAAATGATTTTGTTTGTAATGTTAAAATATTTAAATATTCATGAAGATTTATCATCACTACATCATGGCCTTCATGATGAATTACCATGTATACACATGGCAAACTGTAATCTGCTTTACCAAAATATGCTTTACAATATGATAAATAATACAAGTTGGATGTGCCTTTGTAGTAACAACCACTTCAATCCCCAAGTAGCCAGTAAAATCCGAAATGGCACCATCGCTGGAAAATAGCTGGAACCAAGATCCAGAACTCAAGGGGAAGGAGCTGGTATGTGGACTCCAGGATCCACTCACTTTTAGCCAGGAGGAAACTGCCAAAGACCATCCAGTCCAACTATCTTCCCTAGAACTGGGGAAACTGAGGCCAAAGGCTGACATGACTTGCCAAGTCTTCATAAATTATTTACCAGGAATAAAAATCCCAGACCCTTGGAGATTAGAAGGAAGAAACAGGTATCAGAGGTGGGGTGAGGTATGACAGTGACAAAAGGCAGCTGACAATGGAAGACAAGGCAGGAAAACTAAGGAGTTTCTTACAAAATAATACTGGCTATGAAGACTAAACCAAGAATCGGAGTTATGAGAATTCTCAGTAAATTTGTTATTCTCCATTTTAAAAAAGGGAGGGGGACATACATAGTATCTCTTAGATGGTTGCCATCAAGAGTGTTTAAGATAAACCTAGAGAACAATTCAAAGGCTATCCAGAAAGTTATTCCATGGAATGCCTTCATGCCCAACAACGCTGAAGAATGTTACATACACACATGCATGTTTTTCCAAGGATAGAATGAAATTTATTTGTTTGAGACATGCACACATTTCACAGACAATAAAATTAATACATTATTTTTTTCTTTTTTACAGTGCTGGGGATCAAACCTGGGGCCTCATGCAATGCTAAAACAAGCACTCTACTACTGAGCTCCACCCCCAGCACTAACACTGGTTTTTGAGAGCTTAAATAGCTTGTATACAGATGACAACTTATCTAAATAACCTGAAATAAAAATGACTGACTGCATATAAGCCCCAGAGAACATCCAGTACTTAACCATCACTAATCACCACTCCCAAGGCCATATCCATATCAACAGTACCTTATCAATCTGGATGATGTTATAAGAGTCCAAAGACAAGCAGATCACAGGATAAGAATTTATTACTCCAGCGTGAAGTAATAAGAATGGTAGCTTTATTGATGTCCATCCCAAGATCAGGAGAGTGGCACCTTCTTTCCCTTTCCCTGGAGCTCCCTTTAGCTCTTAGCAACATAACAAGGAAGAGATGACTCTGTGATAAGGCACCTGTCAGGTTTCAAGACGTTACTTGTTTTTCTTCTTCTTCTTCTTTAGGCAGTGCTGGGACTCGAACTCGGGCCTCAAACATGCCTCTATCACTGAGCTCCTACTCTTGCTGCTCCTGCTCCACAGGCTATCCCTTCCCCCATCACCTCCGCGTTTTATAGGATTACTGGAGTCTTCCCCACAAGCCTACATATTCCCATGGGCCTCCACCCTTCACCCACCAAGCATCCTCACAGGGACTCAGATTCACCCCTCTGCCTTTGCATTCTGTGCTATCATTTTAACTACTTTTATCTTCACCAACTTCTTTTCTTCACAGTCACTTCAAGTATGATTTAGAGGAAAGAACAGGAGGATTGGAGCCAGAAAATCCTGGGTCGAATCCCAGCTCCTGCACCCAAATTGAGCCCTGTGATTGAGAATAAGTTATTTCACCTGGCGCCTTCCTGGGCCTCAGCTCCCACACGTGTAAAAGGAGACACACGTGCAAATGAAATAAGACAGTGAATATAAATTGCTTGGTGCATAGTAGGTAGGTGCTCCATGGGCACTCCTTTCCTACCCCTGCCTGACCCCCACTTACAACTGTTGGCCATAGCTTCTTTCTCTCCAAAATGTTTTCTCCCACTGTACTCACAGACGACACACCCGCCCCATATGCTTCCTGCTGGCAATAGCTTCTACACCTGAATCAACGGAGAGCATTTTGAAGACCTATATCAGGAAATGTGATTTTGAGCATTGCCCAACTGTGGTTCTTGAAATAGAAATAGCAAGATTGCAAAATATAGCTAAAAGCAGGCTGTATAAGGACTGCCGGAGTGAAGAAGAGGTCCTGTACTCCCCCAGCTTCTCTGTGCTCCTTCTCCAGTAAAATCTGTCTTCACATTTAGCCCAAGAAAATGTAGAGTGCCCAGTTATATCTTAATTTCAGCTAAACAAATACTTCCAGGTATGTGGTCAAGAATACTTGCCGTGTTCTCTAGCAAAGAAAAGCAATAGAGAAAGGAAACTAAGCGTCATGACTATTAGAGATAGAGGTGATGGTGTCACCAATGACAGCTGAAAGTTCTCTGACCATCAGGGAACTCGGGTGGAGTCCTAGCAAGAGCCAAGAGATGGCACATTGGCCTTGATTTTTCAACTCCATTCAACAGGGGAGGCACATAGTTTATCCAGTCTACACAAAAATCTCCTCACCAAATACTTGTGTCTGCTCTATGGTATATTTCATTTATTAATTTTAAACAAAATTTTGTTTAATGAGCACATATTTTATATCTCATATAGAAGAGATAAGTCACCCAAGTGACTTCTCCCTTACCTCATTTGCATTGGAATTTTCTGTCTTACAAGAAAATTACACATGAAAATGCACATATGGTACTGTATAAACTGAAATGTCATCTCAATTGGACTATTGCAGTAACTTCTCAGTTGGATTCCTGGCTTCTGTCCATCCAGTCTCTTCACAACAGTTGCCAGAATGATCCTTCTAAAAAATTAGCCAGATCATAAAACTCTCCTGCTCAGAATCCTCCAGGGGCTTCCCTTCTCACTCCAAGTGAAAGTTAAAGTCTTTCCAATGGCCTTCGAGCCAATGGACTCCCCACAGGCCTCCCCTGCCCTTTCCAGGCTCACCTGGCGCCAGCCGTTCTAGCCAGAGCCCAGGATGTTGACTTCTAATGCTTGTTCTCTCCCCCCCCTCAGGGCTTTGTTCTAACACCAACTTCTCCAAATGCCTTCCCTGGCAATGCTGTGTAAAATCATAGCTTCCCTTTCCTAGGATATCCTACCTCTCTCTCTGCTATATTTTTCTCCATGTCACCTCTGAAGTTACCCCACATATTCTCTTCCTCACTGGAAATGTATAATGAGCCAGAGGGGCTATGAGTTCTCTGCTTCTGATGTTAATATTTTAAAATGGAGGGGTTGGGAGTTGTCAGTCAGTGGAAAAGCACATGCCTAGCATGTGTGAAGCATGGGTTAGATCCCCAGCACTGGGGGAAAAATAATATATGTGCATATGTATATATGCTGTATTGCTGAATCGCTGAACAGGATAAGGTAGCACAAGTCTGTAATCCCAGCAATTGGAAGGCCAAGGAAAGAGATCATGAATTTAAGGGTAGTCTAGGCTACAGAGTGAGATCAGCTCAAAAAAAAATGCTGGGCACAGCCCTTTCACTATTAGCATTTCATAAATTTTAAGATTGAAGAAAATACCTGAGAAAACATCCTTTTAAAATGCAGGCTAAGGACAGTCAAGAAATTCTAGAATAAAGAATGTGCTCCCATGAAATTTCCGCACAACGGGCATTACAAAGATCCGACCAAATGACCTTGACCCGTGAGACGCATCAAAACCCAAAATGCCACACAGACTTCTCCGTTACCTCTCTATGGAGTCCCTGATGAGCTGCTGCAGGTCCACCTCCTGCTTCCTCAGGGTTCCAAAGGAAGACTGGCTCTCCATCACGCCTTTGCCTCCAATGTTCAGCTTGACCTTGCCCAGGACCGTCTCAATGGCTCCACTCACGTGGTTTGCAAACTTGCCCTCGTATTTCACGAAGTCCGACTCCACGACCACTGGAAAGAACGGAGCAGAGGAATCTGAAGACTTAAAGCCGTGTGCCTCAGGCAGCCTCGCTACCCAGCCCTGCGCAGACCGTGGGAAACACGCTGGCTGTGCGTGATGGTGAAAGGAAACCGACTGGCACCCGGAACTGGCCAGGGTCCTCACGGGCTTTTTTGCTTTGTCGTTTTCCAATTCCAATACAGAGAACAGAGCGTAAAAAGCGACTGTATAGTTTAGAAAATCATTTCAAAGTGAACATTCCTTTAACCACGATCCTTTGAAGAAATAGACTTTTAAATGTGTGCTTTGGCGGGGCGCCACAGCTCGCGCCTGTAACCCTAGCTACTCAACCAGGCAGAGATTAGGACGATCCTGGCTCCAAGCCAGCCCAGGCAAATAGTTCTGGAGACCCTATCTGGAAAATGCTCAACACAAAACAGGGCTGATGGAGTGGCTCAAGTGCTAGAGTGCCTGCCTAGCAAGTGTGAGACCCTGAATTCAAACCCCAGTATAAAAAACAAAAACAAAAACAAAAAAAGAATGTGTGCTTTGCAAGTATGAAGACTCACGTCCCTCCAGTGGCACACCCAAAGGAGTGCCTTAGCATCTGGCCAGCCAGCCACCTGCACTGTCCCTGGGCATCTTTCCTTCCTACCCACCAGTCTTGGAGAACAGTCCCCTGGCCCTGGTTATCTCCACCCCAATAATTTTCTCCTCCTATTTTTATTTTTCTACCTGGCCTCTAGCTAGTCATTCAATTCCTTATTATGCAGTTCTTTATCTGCTTTCCTGATAAAGTCAGCAGACAAGCTGGCCCCCTCAGTTACCATCCTAGAGCATCCTTTCCTTCTCTTCCTCCATACACACTCCCTGCCTCCTTCCTGGCTTCCCAGACACCAAGGAGTACGCCATCCCCATCTGGCATTCCAGCTTCCATCAAGTCACCTGGAAATTGTCACCTTCTAGTCATATCCAGGTGTTTGCCATGAGAGTGCCTTCAAGGTCAGCCCTTTATATCTGAACCCTCAAGATGAATATCTGATGATGTCACACTTGAACTGCCAGCCTTTTGTCTCCAGGTTCCTACAAGGTTTTTTTTGTATGTTTATCTGGTTTTGGTGCTGTTCATTGAGCCCAGGGCCCCCGCATGCTAATTACATGCTGTATCACTGAGCTGAACCATCAGCCCACTGTTCCCGTTTTTAACCAAACCAATACAACCATAAAAAGTCTCAATCATCACCACCCAGTACGGATACATAAAAGCCTGCTAGGAACATCACACTTTTCCATCTCTCTGACCTGAGGCTCACCTGGGCTCCTGGCTGCCCTCCACAAGGAACTCAAAACCACCTGGAGTCTGAAAATCTTCTTCATTCACAGGCCACCCTCAGCACCTGTATTTCTTTCAGTCCAATGGAGAAAGCCCACCCCTCCACCAGGGCCAATAAGCGACCACCTCATTATTGTAATTTACAAAAGGGAGAACCAATTCCCCCACTATCACCAAAAATAAGAAAGCTTCAAAAACTTTTCCTAAGTAACATCTTGTGGGATAAAAACACTTTGGGAACTGCTTCAGGAAACAAAATGGAATAGATATTAAGAGTTGAAAATTATACTTCCACTGTAATTGGCCTAGAGGGGTGAGGTGGTTTTTGTTTTTTTTGGGGGGGTGGGAGTTGGTGCTGGGGATTGAAACCAGAGTCTCATGAATGCTAGGCAAGTGCTCTATCTCTGAGTCACAACCCCAATCCTGGGACAGCTTGGGTAACATCCATCTCCCAAACCTCAGATTTTCAAATATAATTTGGAGATAATCAATGATACCTACCTGAGGGAGTATGTTGCCAGCTGATGTATAAAAAGGGTGAAATATAGGACCTGGCAGACAAGGCTCAATCTATCCACTAGGTTTAAGCCAGAGCAACATTCTTTTCTGATAAACAGGACAGTCCCAGATTCTACAAAGCACTAAACAGACAGAAATTCTATCTTCAGGACACAGTTCTGATCTTAGGCTTGCTATCGCTTTTGGAAACTCTCCAAAACTAGTCACACAGCAGAAAAGGGCAGATCAAGACTGTGTACACCTTCAGCACAACTCCAGAAAAGATGTCATTTGTGCACACTTGGTACATCAAGTCATCACCTGCTGCTGATGGAAGGGAAGAAATGAGGGAACCAACAGGCCATCACAGGATCACCAACAATCCAACCATTACCCCTGCTACCTTCACACCTTTGGGCAACACACAACAGTGTTGTTGTGAATGGCAAAAAATAACCATAAGGAAGCCCTGGCTGAAGGCTTGTCTGAAAGAAAGTTGGGAAACTATTTATAAACTCAAACAATCCCCTCTATCTTTTTCTCCTTTAATAGAAATGCAATCACAAAATTAGAGCTGTTTGGAGCTGAGAAAGTCAGAAATTAAGTATTTCTACATATTACTTTGTTTTAAAAAGTAAGACAGCAATGAGTACCAAGTCTTCAAAAAGTTTCCAACCACTGGTCCAGTAATTCTATTCCTAAGAATCCTTGCTATAGCTTAAAAATATTACAAACAAAAATGTTCATTGCAGTTTTATTCATTAAGCACTAAGTTGGAATGGTTTAGCAAACTAAGGTACATACACACAAAAGAATATTACTTGTTAAAAGTAGTATTAAAACACTTTTAAAAACTTACATAAAAAATCATATATGGCTAAATAAGATAATAAAAAGGAGCATATAAACAATGTATATGGTATGTTTCTAACTCTGTTTTAAAAAAATTAGATGCAGAGCTGGGCGCTGGTAGATCACACTTACAATCCTTGCTACTCAGAAGACAGAGATCAGGAAGATCTCAGTTCAGAAATGTTATCATTTGCTGGTAAATGGATGGAATTGGAGAACATCATTCTGAGTGAGGTTAGCCTGGCCCAAAAGACCAAAAATCATATGTTCTCCCTCATATGCGGACATTAGATCACGGACAAACACAACAAGGGGATTGGACTTTGATCACATGATAAAAGCAGGCAAGAGCACACAAGGAAGGGGTGAGGATAGGTAAGACACCTAAAAAATTAGCTAGCATTTGTTGCCCTTAACGCAGAGAAACTAAAGCAGATACCTTAAAAGCAACTGAGTCCAATAGGAAAAGGGGACCAGGAACTAGAGAAAAGGTTAGATCAAAAGAATTAACCTAGAAGGTAACACACATGCACAGGAAATTAATGTGAGTCAACTCCCTGTATAGCTATCCTTATTTCAACTAGCAAAAACCCTTGTTCCTTCCTATTATGGCTTATACTCTCTCTTCAACAAAATTAGAGATAAGGGCAAAATAGTTTCTGCTGGGTATTGAGGGGGTGGGGAGGAGGGGGTGGGGGCAGGGGGGAGAAATGACCCAAGCCTTTTATGCACAAATGAATAATAAAACAATAATTTTAAAAATCCAGTAATTTAAAACATACATACTCATTTTGTGTGACAAGATGCAAAGTTAAAAGACAATAGATGGAAAAATTTTCAAGATGTATAACAGAAAACTAAGCATAAAAACAATTGTAAATGAACAAGAAGACAACCCAAAGAAACTAGGAGAAAAATAGAGAAATATAGCCATTTATGGAAGAACAAATACAGTGGCCTCTATGAAGATGTGCTCAACTTTGCTAGAGGACAGAGAATGACTATTGTGTATCAAGCATTGCTTAATCTTTCACAGTCTGCTGAAGTAGTTATCATTGAACTCATTTAACAAGTGAGAAAACCAAGTTTTAAGATTAATAATTTATCAATTGGCTTTTTTTTCCCTCAAAAATATTATAGCTTATGGAAATAGTGGAATGTTTTTTCTAATAAATTAAACCCTCTCTACATTTTAAAAAAAAAAAAAAAAGGAAGATCTCAGTTCAAAGCCAGTCCGAGCAAATAGTTCAAGAAATCCTATATTGAAAATATTCATCATCAAAAAGGGTTGGTGGAGTGGTTCAAGTGGTAGAGCACCTGCTCATCAAATGTGAGGCCCTGAGTTCAAACCCCAGCACTACTCTCGCCCCCCCCCAAAATAACTGCAGATAAATAAAACTGCAATGTAAGTATAGATAGAAATTAACATATGATACATTATGGTACAATTTTTGTTGATTTCTAAATTTTCTCCATCCCATTTTATATTTTATAAACACAGTAATGAATTGCTTAACAACAGGCATAAATGTTGGGTAGAGCACCCATCCCACTTGTGCTGACTGGCCAGAATATCTACCATGGGTATGACTTACTTCTAGAACAAAACTGAAAAATTATTTTTAAAATGTTAAACTGTAACTTTTTTTTGTCAGGCTGCAGAATTTTTCCATTTTAAGAAAGAATGTTTTTAAGACATTAGGCAAAAGAAAATGAAGAATTCACTATAAGGTACCACTTCAATTCCAGACAAAACAACCCACTATTCTGAGACTAATTACAAAACATACCCAAAAGTACATACCTGGGCTCACTGATTGGTCTTCTACAAGTACATCTCCCAGGGTGACAGACAAAAACTGGTACTTGGGCCTCTGCCAGCACCAGTATCTCTTCTTCTTGGTCACCAGACTTAGAAGTTGTAACTTATCTGAGTCATTCAAGTTTGATACTGAAATCAGGTTACCACCAGCATCAACTTCTTTCAGAAAATTCCTTGTTGCTTTTGCAAACATTTTGAGGGCTCCAGATTACCTGAAAAAAATAAAATATAATTACACTAAAATCAAATAAGAAGTTGTTATTTTACGCATTTTTTCTAAAGTTGTATTTCTCTCTCGTCTCAGCAGTTCATGTGAAAGCCTATTTACTCTCTACAAAATCCTCTAATCTGAGTTCAGGTGATTACAAAGACATCAAATTGTTGAAAGCAAATATTTGTAACAGTTAGGATAGCCAGGTTATGCTTCAGAAACAACAAACCCCAAATCTTAAACACAATAAAGTGTGTTTATTTCTCATACTACTTGTCAACACAGGACAGGAGAGCTTTGTGTATTGTAGTTAATTAGGGATCCAGACCAAAGGAAAGACACTCTTATTGTCAGTCATTATCCAACAGAAAAGAGAGTTCTGGAAGGCCTCACACCAGCAATTAAATGCCTGGACTGAGACTATGTTCATTTACAACTTGTTAGACCTAGTCACATGTCTTCAGCCAACCATAGGGGTTGGGAAATACAATCCTACCAACAGTCTGGAAGGTGGAGGGCTAGGAATATTTGTTATAATGATTTCTACAAATTCAACCAACTGCAGGTTGGAGAAGCTTTTTTAAAATTGCATTTGTAATGAACATAAAAGCTTTTTCCCTGTCATTATTCCTTATACAATACAGAGTAACAAACATTTACATACCATTTCCATTGTATTAGGTATTGTCAATAAACTACAGAGGATTTAAAGCATGCTAGAGGATGTGTGTAGTCTATATGCAAATATAACATTGTACACAAGACTTGAGCATCCTGGATATTGGAATGAGGAGTCAGGGGAAGAGGTCCTGGAACAAATTCCTCAGCCAATACCTAGTCACTCAACTGTACTTCTTCCAAACGTCAAAGGCGCCTTTCCTCTACACTCTGTGATCTTTCCTGTTTAGAAATGAAAAGTAATTAACTATTACTTTTTAGCTCAGAAATAAAGGCAGAGAAACACTTCAGCAGTGGGGAAAAAGAAGAAACACACTGGAAGATATAAAAGAGAAGTACTAGATTCAGCAGAAGCATAGACTATTTAATAAATGGTGTTAAAAAAAATGGGCTAACCATCTGGAAGAAGTAAAGTGACTCCTCTCTCATGCCACATGTAAGAGCAAGTTCTCAGAGGATTAGAGGTTTCTTTAAGGAAAATGAAAGCATAAAGTAGAAAAAAATACAGAGAGGGATTCCAAGATGGCGGCTAGAGGGAGGAAGCAGAAAGCGACCCTCCTATAGTGAAATCTTGGAGAGACACTGGAGACACACTTTGCAGGCATAATCACCGAGAAAAGGCATAACTTTGACCCCTCCACATCTCCAGCCGGCACAGAGAATCTCCACTTCACGTTAAACGGAGAAACGAGGAGGGCCCCTGGGCCGCCAGTGGCCGGCACCCACTGGGAAGACGTGGACCAGGTGAGCTTCGCGGTACCGAGTCCCCACAGACAAGCCTGGGCCAGAGCAGCATAGCCCCCTGGACAGACTGACCTCCACCCAGGGAAAAAAGAGAAACTGAGTAATAAGCAATAAGAACAATTAAGACATGCTGGAAAGAGGGTGGGGTGCCCTGAGTGCTGAAGATTGGGGGAAGGGAACCCTTCCCGGGACTGTAAATAAACAAGCCGGGCAGGCCGGAGAGCCTCTACGGGAGCGGGGGCACATGCCCAGCAACCAGGAGCGGGGAAGCTTGTGAGAGTGGCAGAGGGAGGAAAACTCCACAGGGGAGGAGGGAAGACCCACTTCCCACATGAACTGTAAACAAACATGTCGGCTGGCAGGAGCAGCAGCACCGCCCAGTAAGCAGGAGCAGGAAAGCTTGTAAAAGTGGCAGTGGGAGGAAAACTCACAGGAGAGGGGGAAGACCCACCTCCCACATGAACTGTAAATAAACACGCAGGCCTGACAACGGGGGCAGTGTCACCTTTCCCAGTGCTTGGAAAGGGGAAAGCTTGTAGCAGAGGCTCCCACACAGGAGAACTCTGAGCAAACAAAGCCTGTGGGACCAGGTGAGTGCTAAGCTCACCCCAGAGATCTGCATAAATAATGCCCCAGCACAGGCTGAGAGCAGCAGGCAGGCAAGCCACAGTTGCAGATACCACTCTCAGAACTGTCTCCAGACTCTTTTTTTTCTTTTTCTCCCTACCTTTGATGAGAGAACAACCGAATTACACCTGCAAGCTGAAAAACTTACTGAAACTGTATTGCATTTGAACTTGGGACACTTGGTGGGGTTTTTTTTGTTTGTTGTTTGTGTGTGTGTGTGTGTGTGTGTGTAGTTTTGTTCTACTTTATGCATCCCTTTGATGAGACAACTACAGAACAACATCTGAGGCACCAACTCCAGGACTGGAGATTGAGAGGACACCCAAATTATTAAGACTGAAACTGCATTGCATATAACTTGGAGTTTTTTTTTTTTTTTTTTTTATTTTCCATTTTATTTTAATTCATTTTTTATATAGATATTTCTTTCATTTACTTATTTTTTATTTTTTTATCTTTGATTTTCAATCCTCTCTCTGTCTCTCTAATGTCTGTTCAGCTTACTGTCGATTAGTACACTAACACTCCCTGTTTATACCTTTGAAACTCTCTTGTCTGATACCTTGTTCTGCTTTCTCCTCTTGTCTGTTATTTGTTTTTCCCTTTTCTTTAACTTCTTGCTTTCCATCTCAGCTCACCCTTCCATTCTAAATATTACCATTGTTATTATTACAAGCTAGAAAATACTTAATTGCACACAGTACAGGGACAGTAACAACACCAAAGACAATGACGGGAAGACAGAAAAAACAGGGAAACCAGTTTCCCCACAGCAAAAAATTAGTACAGGAACCAGAGGGGAATGAAGAAACAGAACTCAGATCCAGACTCCAACAAAATGAAGATAAACTATGCCAAAGGACCCAATGAAGCCCACAAGAACAATTTAAAAGAAGACATACTACAAGTACTCAATGAGAATTTTATAGAGATGATACTGGATAGGGTCAACCAAAATGTACAGGAGACACTCAAGAAATTCCAAGACAACAAAAATAGAGAATTTGAAAAAGCAAAAGAAGAAATAAAGGAAACCATAGAAGCACTGTATAAACACCAAAGTGAAAGAGAGAACACAATGAATAAAGGATAAATGAACTCAGGACAAAAATAGACAACATTAAAGAGGAAACACCAGGATATGGAAAACCTCAGAAAAAAGAATGAAACAGAACTGCAAAACAAAACGGAAGGCCAATCCAGCAGAATAGAACAAACAGAAGACAGAATCTCAGAACTTGAAGATGAAATGGTAATTAAAGGAAAAACCGAAGAACTATTAATTAAACAACTCAAGACCTGTGAAAAGAAAATGCAAGAACTCACTGACTCCATCAAAAGACCAAACTTGAGAATCATGGGCATCGAAGAAGGAGAAGAGGTGCAAGCGAAGGGAATGCGTAATATATTCAACAAAATAATAGAAAATTTCCCAAATCTAGAGAAAGATATTCCCATACAGATGCAAGAGGCCTCCAGGACACCAAACAGACCAGATCAAAATAGAACTACTCCACGACATATCATCATTAAAACAACAAGTTCAGAAACTAAGGAAAGAATATTGAAGGCTGTAAGAGAGAAAAAACAAGTAACATACAAAGGTAAACCCATCAAAATCACAGCAGACTTCTCAACAGAAACATTAAAAGCAAGAAGAGCGTGGGGTGAGATCTTCCGGGCACTGAATGAAAATAACTTCAACCCCAGGATACTCTACCCAGCAAACTATCATTCAAAATAGATGGAGCAATAAAAGTCTTCCATGATAAGCAGAAACTAAAACAATATGTGACCACAAAGCCACCACTACAAAAGATTCTGCAAGGGATTCTGCACACAGAAAGTGAAACCAACTTAACCATGAAAAGGCAGGCAGCACCAAACCACAGGAAAAGAAAAAGCAAGAAGTAGAGAGTAACCTCAACTTAGGTACACACAATCAAACCTTCAAACAACTAAGACAACTAAATGACAGGAATCACCACATACCTATCAGTACTAACGCTTAATGTTAATGGACTTAATTCACCCATCAAAAGGCACCGTTGACAAATGGATTAAAAAGGAAGATCCAACAATTTGTTGCTTACAGGAGACCCATCTCACCGACAGAAATAAGCATAGGCTTAGGATGAAAGGCTGGAAGAAGATTTACCAAGCCAATGGCCCCCAAAACAGGCAGGAGTAGCAATACTTATCTCTGACAAAGTAGACTTCAAACCTACATTGATCAAACGAGATAAAGAAGGACATTCCATACTAATAAAAGGGGAAATAGACCAAAAGGAAATAATAATCAATCTGTATGCACCCAATGTCAACGCACCCAATTTCATCAAACATACCCTGAAAGACCTAAAAGCATATATAACCAACACAGTGGTTGTGGGAGACTTTAACACCCATTATCATCAATAGATAGGTCATCCAAACAAAAATCAATAAAGAAATCCAAGATCTAAAATATGCAATAGATCAAATGGACCTAGTTGATGTCTACAGAACATTTCATCCAACTCTACACAATATACATTCTTCTCAGCAGCCCATGGAACCTTCTCCAAAATAGATCATATCCTAGGGCACAAAGCAAGCCTCAGCAAATATAAGAAAATAGAAATATACCATGCATACTATCTGATCACAATGCAGTAAAAGTAGAACTCAACAACAAAAGTAAAGACAAAAAACATGCAAACAGCTGGAAACTAAATAACTCATTACTTAATGAAGAATGGATCATCGATGAAATAAAAGAGGAAATTAAAAAGTTCCTGGAAGTCAATGAAAATGAAAACACAACCTACCGGAACCTATGGGACACAGCTAAGGCAGTCCTGAGAGGAAAGTTTATAGCCATGAGTGCATATATTAAAAAGATGAAAGATCCCAAATCAATGACCTAATGATACATCTCAAACTCCTAGAAAAACAAGAACAAGCAAATCC